AAGAAGAAGTCTTAATTTATTACAGTTTAACAATAGACAGTTAAATCTTAGCACAAACATAATAAACCCAACTTATTGGCAGCGGTCATAAAAAACCTTCAGATATTTAATTTACAACCCCTTAATCAAATTTATTTGCCTCTTGTTGTAAAAGTAAACATCTTCTAGCATAGAAATTCCTGATATCCCCGGCATTGTCACTGTTCAGTGATTCGATAGGGTTTTTTATGTGATCACCCCAAGTTGGCCGCGCCTTTGATCCCGGTTCCCTATCCCGCTACCTGTATCATCCCTCGGTGTCTTTTGTATTTTTTCACCCACTATCTTGTAAGTTTTGGGGATCAGTGGAATTAAAGATTACGAAACAGGTAACATATTCAAGATACAAGTGCCAAGAGCCGAAGTGTGACTGCAAAACCTAAGGCCTACCTAGGTATTACAGCCTAAAAGGAAAATTATAAATTTTTTGACATGATATGTGTTATCTAATCATAATATTAACCATCACAATGTAGGTAATCTTATCAAGCGATAATAAAATCAATGGGTAATTTTCTTTGACTTATCCACTGTTAATTTTACATACATACATAGGCTTTCCAACTGGTTTTCTGCCTTTAACAGGGCTTCTAATAATCCATCCAGACTAAGCATTCAGTTACTAATAACTAACTATTCCCGTTAAATGTCTACGGGACCCTCCCTTAAAGTTCGACTGTGGCTTGTCCGATTTCTTTTGATTGAATTACGGGTTGTAAGGTTGCAGCCACGATTAGACGCGCCGCATTCCAGCTGCTAATTTGGTGCTATTAAATACACGCATGTCCTGCTAGAGGGAGATAGCCGAATTTTTCTATGATGGAGTCGTATTTCATCCTTTTCTAAGGGACCTCGGAGGGCGCCCGTTTTCGGCGGCGGTAATCGACTTACACCGTAACGTGTAATGTTGGTAACTTGAGTTTTAGGAGCGCTACACACAAGACATTATTCGCCACAAATGGGCAGTATTTAATGTAGGTAGGTAGATGAATTTTATAGGGATACTTAGGGCTGAATTTTAAAGTAGCCACTCTACTTTACTGTTCAAAAATATCTCTGAGGGACGCGATGTGTTGAAACTTGTGTATAGCGCGCTTTTTGTTTTAATTTTTTAATGTTTGCAAGTTTTGCAACTAAGATAAAACTCCAATTCAAACTGGTACCTAATTGCAGTCACAAACTTACTTTTACTTACTTACATTTAGTTTCATCATCATCATCAGGTCAGGTTAGTCTCTGTAGGTACTGCAGAAACAGGATGATTCTTTAAAATTCTGAGGCAAATAGAGGATTTGGCCTACAGGTGGCCAGACGGGAAGGGTGAATGAAGACATTCAATTTACGGGACTACATTTAATTAATGTTATTAAATCAATATTGGGTGTTATCTTTAGCTATAAATCGATTACTACGCACTTATTAATAAAGATACCTATGTTTTGTCAATCCAACAGTTGGCGGCCGTTACGAACTTGCTACGTGATCTGCGTAAATAGTCTACTCGTATGCTTGTGAATAATACTCGTATCTTGATGTCCTTGAATTATACTGTCAGATTCCAGTTTGATCCACGATACGAAGGGCGTTATTCGGTTCACAGCAAAAAGCTGTTAATAAAATAAAACAAAAGAGGTCCACGTGCCAATTAAGTACGTATGATCCAACTCTGGCGTATAAAAATGGATAGATTTTTTCGCAATGTGAGATTCCTTACCACATGAGTAAAAAAAAGAACCAGAATTTATTAAATCCTGAAACCCTCGTTATACCTAACATTTTACTAAGTGGATCTCCTCATCCCTGAATTAGGAAACACCATAAATATTTACCTAGGTGTATTTTGGTGAAAATTTTTACAGAATGTGAAACCTGAAATTTTCGTTTTACCTAATATTTTATTAAGTGGACCTCATCCCTGTGTTACGACTACTACCATAAAAAATACTACATGTTTTGGTGAACAATTGATTCCAGGATTCCGGCCATTCCGGGTGAAGCTCATCATACCTAAACATCAGTGTGTCGAGTCACAAAATAGGTGGTCGAGTGATGGTATGTCACTTATCTGTTGTTTTTTGGGAACATGATCACAGTGATTATAACCAACCGCCATTTCCGACGAACTCGTCGCTCGGGCAGAACATACTCGTAGATTAGAGATTAATGCGCCTACGCATTTTTGTAGCGTTACTGAGCGAACATGATTGTAAAATGTAGAGATAGGTACTTACGAGTCTGTTAATTGCTTTGGCATACCTACTAACCTACATTTCGTATGAGTAAAGGGAACCTTTCTTACTAAGGGCTGCTGAAAATCTTTTGAGATAGGCATGGCTCTATCAACTCTAGAGATACTTAACTAGTCCTAGAGATAGAGTCATAGAGTCAAAATACCAGAGTTCACAACATCCTACAGCTTATGTTACCTAGGCTTAGGATATTTAGTTTTAGGTTATTAAAATATCTTTAATACCAAATAAAATATTTTTTCTTTCTTTCTAAAATCTTTGTTTGTCACCTGTTATCCGCTTTGCAATGGAGGTAAGTCGAATCTTAATTTCGAACTCCTCCTATGTTCTTCTAATTTCGTTGCGGGTCCAATGACAGTTTAACTTTCCCCCGGGACAAACTTGACCTTCATTGGTTGGATTTTTATGGCGGTCAAGCTGTAGATCCTGGCTACACAGGAGTTGCAGTGGTGGGAACGAGAGGTGGGAATAGTCCCGTATCTAGGTTAGGGAAGAGTGGGAATTTATCACAGACATGATGAGCGAGAAAATTACAAAGCTATGAAAATGCACATTTTCTTTAAGGCTCAGTTCCATGTAGTAGAGTCCTTTCTACCCTTGGTTAATATTTATTTTCTATATGCAATATTACCTCATTGTCACATGGTATCATTTTAGCTTCATTTTAATTTTATTAAAAAAACTTGTTGGTTTTAATTTTATCGAATAGAAGGAAAGATAATATTTCATAACGCAGACGTAAACAAAGCTATTAATATCAAATTCTTAGCTCCTAAATATTGTTTTGTGCTGTTATCTCGGTCATTAGAAGATACTATACCCTTAAAAGTAATATATTTTAACTTAATTCAACAACAACATTTTAAATACTTTTAATATTTTATCATATCGAAATTTTATGTGCATAAGTATGTTGGCAAACTATACTTAGTCAATGTGTGGTCACTGGACATAATTATGATGCTATTACCTTTTCCCTTGCTAGATAATCAAGGGCCTAGAATTCTAGATTAACTGGTCACTCTAGATTGTAGGAAGATTATATTAAAAACTCATATGTACCTACAAGAACCCTTCTAGATAAACACAAGTCAGGTGGCCCCAACGTCAATTTATGCAAAAGTATTTGTTAACATGCCTCGCCGCTTATTTACAACTTTATTATTTTAATGGCAGCAAAGTTATAGAGATAATAATCCAATTTAATAACCAATTACTACAATTATTCATCAACTCGTCCTACGGCATAAGTGGGTCGGTGTCTTGTTTTACCTTGTCATAAAGCAAAAAACAATAACTACGAAAAATAAGTTTATAAATTAGTTTATCGATTAATTTTAAGCTCGGTAATGAAAATTAATAACGATATTGAAATCAGTATAGAAATAGTCTCATTTTTTTGAGTTGGCCCTAACGAGTAATAATATAATAATCAATCAATCGGTTAAAAATAATGCAACTGTTTGAAATCTGACTCTAGTAATGAAAATGAATGGCTTACTGTATGTATACTAATTAAAATATGATACTACGTTTTGAATTCAGAAAAGTTCTAAATAAATAATGTTACCCTTTGAAGTTAGACTAGAATTGACGCGAATAATTTTACTCTATCCTACTGAGTCTTCTTAAGCTGTTTATTAATAGACTAACAGCCGCCCGCAACTTCGTAACCGTTCGTGGATCCCGTTTTACCCTCTTAGGGGTGGAGTTTCGTAAAATCAGTTCTTAGTGAGCACCTAAAAGGAATCCCCAAGCAAAATTTGAGACTCCTAGCACTTGTAGTTTCTGAGATTTCGTGATGAGTGAGTCAGTCAGTCAATCAGTGACCTTTCGCTTTTATAAATATAGACACCAGTGATTTGCTTTCGTTTATTTAGGATCGAATATTTATTGATTGTTGATTATTGAGAAGTATGCAAGTATTTGTATACAATTCAGCTGCTTTATCAATATTTTTACGTGTGATAAGATAAGAAAGCTCTGTCCAAACTTTGACTCTATCAGTAGAGTTAATTAGTGATGTGACTAGACGTGTGCACGACCGCCCACTGTTGGGATCTGAAGTAGCCGCTCGGTGTGTCGGTGCGTGCACTGGGTCTGATCGGCGGAGCTCGAACCGCCAACCGTTCATCGATAGCTTCTTGATAAATAAAAACGCAATGGACTGTATAGCTTCTTTAATCTCACTTCACAAACTTTCACTACAACTATGAGGTCCTGTCCTTAACACTATTACACTTCGCCCGTCCGAATAGGGCAACCGCGTCGCGTTTAGGAGGAGCTTAGCTCGACTCGCACTTATTCCGATTTCTCTGCACTGACTGGATTCACGAACCGACGAACTGAACTAACTGCGAACTAACTCAGGAACGAACTCACTAACTCACTTTTGGGCTCGAGGCGCGCTTCTTATGTCTTGTCTGAGAGCGAGGGTTTAGTCGCGGCAATCGCCCATAATCTACACCAATCGCCATGCCCGAATGTAGGCTATCTCTCTTTCAAACCCTCCCTCTCAGACAGACGCGTCCGTGAGCGCTCACATGCCTATCTCGCTCACTCCTAAGCGATTCCCTATCTTCCTTTTCTTAATTATTTGTTTTCCTTAATTAACATGTGTCCTCTTTATTATTTTCATGTAAAAAGTAGTACATAGGTTTCGTCTTTCCTTATATATTACGATTTAACTTAGTCCTTAATAAATTACATCTTCTATAAAGAATTATTCATCATTTTCCATCTTTNGACGCCGGGTAAGTCCTTTAGACGGTTAGGCCCCTCCAGTAAATAGTCGTTCAAGCAGCGTCCGTCGCTTTGAGCTGCAGCGTCAAAAACCAGGCGTATCTTCTCTGGTTTGTTCAAATTTGTCGTCGCGAAATGCGGAAGGAACCACCTCTTTTCTTCTTCTAGTCGTGTCACGGGTTCCACATATCCTTTCTCTATTAATCTTCTTATTTGCAGCTCGTAACTTGATTTAAATGTCGGATTTCGGTCCATCCGCCGTTCGAGGTTCACGAGTCTCTTCAGCGCCTCCTTGTAGCTTGGAGGTAGGGTAACATTTCCTTCTTTCCAGGTTAACCCTACCTCGATGCGCCCGTCTGGTGTTCTGCGCACTGTCTCTCTGAACGTTGATTCGGCCTTCTCCTCGGCGGGCTTGGTGGCCTTCCTCACACCCACACCGAGCGCCTCCATTTCAAAATTCCAAGCCACTATCTTCTCTAGGTTGTCCACGATGTGGAGCACCGTTCCACCGTTCTTCTTTATTATCCTGAACGGCAGGATCCCATGGACCACCCATCCCAGCGGAGTCCTAGTTGCCGCCGGCTCGTGCTTTGCTCCTCGTCTCACGTCGGTGGCCACGAGCAAGTCCCAATGATCGGCCCCTATTAGGACCTGTGGCTTCGCCTTTCCATAGGTCAGACCTTCTATGTCCTTTAAGTGCGGGTACTTCAATACTCGGCCTGGTACTGTCTGAGGTGTCAGCTCGAAGTTCTTTATCGTCCTCAATACCAGCTCGTGCTCCTCATTCTCGAACCGGCCCTTTATGGTTAACTGCACCTCGCGGCTGGCCTCTTCTTTCGTTGTCGCATTGACCCCCTTGATGGTTATGGGCCTCGGCGTCCCGCCCTTGGTTAGCGACTTCGCTAGGTCAGCGTCTATCAGTGAGACCGTAGCGCCTTCGTCCAGAAGGGCGTAGGTCCTTACCTCTCCTAGAGGGCCTCGCAGGGTCACCGGACACATCTTTAAAAGTACCTGCCGATCCGTAGTTGCGGTCGCAGTCACGACGGTCTCCTGCACAGGCGTAGTTCTCCGGTCCGCGTGCAGCAGGTGGTGATGAGGTCTAGCACAACGATCACAAGCACGGGCTTTGCAGTTTTGCCGTCTATGAGTGGACACTAGGCACAGGAAACACAATCGGCACTTCTTTATCAGTTCCCACCGATCCGAATCACTTTTGTCTTTGAACCGATCACAGTCTGGCACTACGTGATCTCCACCACAACACACGCACTTTATTTGTCTTTTATTGTCACTAACTTGTCCATTATTGTCATTGCGTGCGGTCGTTTCACTCGCGTTATATATTCGCGCACTTTTCTTCACTGACGGCTTCGAAGTTGAGGCTTGCGTTCCGGAACTGGAGGCCATCGGCGTATAGGAGTACATCATCGCTTTGTCCGCCTCTTCCATTAGAAAGCGAGACAGTGCTACGATGTCTGATTCCCCCGGCCGCTTCCTGTCCGCTGCGAAGTCACACCACCTCGTCCGTGTGTGAGGATTGAGTTTCTCAATAACATCCCTCGCCAACATAGGGTTCATCAAATATCCACTGTTATCGATGTTCTGAATAATCGATACGATATTCTGGAGCTTGATGGCGAACTTGTTGAGATCCATTGCTGCGGCTCCTGGTTTCGGCAGATGTCTGATCTCTTCCAGCGCACGATCTATTATGTGCTCTGGCCTTCCATAGTACTGGTCTAACGTTCTCACTATCAATACTGGATCTGCTGCAGTGTAAAGTAGAGCCGCAACGACCTCTCTGGCCTCTCCCCTTAAACTTGACCGCAGCTTTGCTAGATTGTCGGCCGGTGTTCCCTTCGTTAAAATCCCGGAATCACGGATTGCCGCTCTAAACGGAAGCCACTCCGTTGCTGCTCCGCTGAATATTGGCAATTCCTGTCTGCCCGGCCGATATGCCATATCTCTGATGGCTTCTGCTAATTGCTCGATAGCGCGCCCGCTGCTTCTTTGACGTTCCCGCGCAGGCGTCCGCGTCGGCGATCTTGAGTAGCGCCCCTCATCGGGGGGCTCCCCCCGTGGCACACCCGTATCCTCAACACGCGTCGTTGTTGTCGCGGTCGCAATCGGCTGCTCGCGTAGCCAGCCTTCGACCCGCTCGTGTGCGTGGTCGCCGGTTTCGCTCGCAACTCTCTCTTCTTCTTGAATGTCTTCGATCTCGGCGGCCAAACGTTTCTTTATAAGGTCCGCTTCGAGTTCAAGTTCCTTCTTTCTAATCGCAGCCAACCGTTCCGCTGCCGCGATCTCCGCTGCTCTTATTCTGGCGGTCGCACTTGAGGTTGACCTCACTGATGGCGCACGTATGGTCACAGTTCTTGGCACCTCTGTTCGTGAGGGTTCTCTTTCTTGCCCCTCTCCTCTCGGGGGTTCCATTTCTTGACCCTCTTCTCGTAGTGGTCCAGTCGAAGGTGATTGCGGCGGCTCCGCGAACGTTCGCCTCAGCGTGGCTTGTCGCGTTCTCGGCTGCTCCTCCGCGGGTTCCCTGCCGTCTTGGCTCCGGGTAACCACCATAGTTCCAGTTGCTAATCGGGTTCTAAGTGCTCGTCGTCCGTAGGGTTCCAACTATGACCCGCTTCCTTACGTTCCGGTTTCCAAAGTCCGGGTTCCGTAGCTCGGGTTCCTTAGTTGGGGTTCCGTAGACCAGGGGTTCCGTAGTCCGGGGTTCCGTAGACCAGGGGTTCCGTAGTCCGGGGTTCCGTAGTCTGGGGTTCCGTATTCTGGGGTTCCGTAGTCCGGGGTTCCCTACCCCAGGGTTCCGTATTCCAGGGTGCCGTAGATCCAGGGGTTCCGTAGATCCGGCTCGAAGGACCTAACTGTGCACGACCGCCCACTGTAGGGATCTGAAGTAGCCGCTCGGTGTGTCGGTGCGTGCACTGGGTCTGATCGGCGGAGTTCGAACCGCCAACCGTTCATCGATAGCTTCTAAATAATAAAACAATGGACTGTATAGCTTCTTTATTCTCACTTCACAAACTTTCACTACAACTATGAGGTCCTGTCCTTAACACTATTACACTTCGCCCGTCCGAATAGGGCAACCGCGTCGCGTTTAGGAGGAGCTTAGCTCGACTCGCACTTATTCCGATTTCTCTGCACTGACTGGATTCACGAACCGACGAACTGAACTAACTGCGAACTAACTCAGGAACGAACTCACTAACTCACTTTTGGGCTCGAGGCGCGCTTCTTATGTCTTGTCTGAGAGCGAGGGTTTAGTCGCGGCAATCGCCCATAATCTACACCAATCGCCATGCCCGAATGTAGGCTATCTCTCTTTCAAACCCTCCCTCTCAGACAGACGCGTCCGTGAGCGCTCACATGCCTATCTCGCTCACTCCTAAGCGATTCCCTATCTTCCTTTTCTTAATTATTTGTTTTCCTTAATTAACATGTGTCCTCTTTATTATTTTCATGTAAAAAGTAGTACATAGGTTTCGTCTTTCCTTATATATTACGATTTAACTTAGTCCTTAATAAATTACATCTTCTATAAAGAATTATTCATCATTTTCCATCTTTACTTACGTAACTTACATAAACGGTTATTATTTCCATAAATTATATATCAAGCTATTTAATATTATTACAGAGACCATCAAATACATGTTAAAACCTTAAATATTCAATAATTAACATACAAACATACATATTTACAGTTTACGCGCAACGGTGTACGCATTCGTTCGCGCCACTATTTCGCCGATTTCCTTCTTCTCGGCGAGTCGTCCCCAACAAGACGGTAGAGACAGACTAATGATAACGAAATCTTTAGAATGTCGCATGAATCATTAAGGACTCAATCTTTATTAAAAGAAACTATTTCATACATCTTGATGACTATTTTTTGCTTCTGAGAATGAGTTATGCTGATTAATAATCGTCTTCAATATTGCTGTCACTTTAAGAGATATTTGGTTAATTGTCTGATTTAATTTGTATTGTTTGAGATAATTATGTTTTTTTCTACTCAAATGGTTGGGTACATTATACCGCACTTATGTCATTGTTTGTTTGCGGCATGAACTCTTTTTTGCGACATTGTATTCAGAAAGTTAAAAGAACAAAACGAGTCGTTTGCGGTTATGATTTTACAGAAAACGATCCAACTCCATTCAGCTCAATGGGAGCGCACAATTCACGTGACGAAACAAAAACTGTACGCGATCACAATGGGTTTACTCGACGCTCGGTTTTGTAAGAGAACGTACGCGACACAAATGGCGCGAGGGACTCAACCCAACGACCTTTAACGTACCAGTGACATTTCACCAGCGGCTCTTGTCAAAACGCTGTTACTTATTACGCCGTGTCAGGGCTGGAAACAAAGCTTAGGCAACGCTAATAATATCTCGCTCACTTACGCAATACGCAATCCACTCGCATAGTTTCGCTGCCCGCGCTCATGTACAACTAGATCGCTGGGTAATGGGTAATTGAATAAAACCACACCATAATAGATAATACATTTCATTTTATATTAGGTATCTATAACAATACTTTTAACAGTCTTAAAACGAACGACTTAGTGAGATAGACGGCGGTCAACGCCGGGGTATCTACAAATCTACAGTATGTACAGGGTCAAGCGCAGGTGAGAGATGTGAACGCGCGCGGCGCGGGGTTGGGCGGCGCGCTGTGGCGCTGCAGCCCCGAGCAGGCGCCCACGCCGCGCGCCACCGCCTCGAAGAACTGCCGCAGGTCGCTCACCGAGCGCATCGGCGGCGCCTGCAGGTCGTGCAGCGAGGCCGCGCGCCGCGGCGTCGTCTCCGCCACCAGCGGCTGCGTCAGCTGCTCCGTACTCCTAGCCAACCCACCACACCCCCCGCTCCTCGACAAATTCTCAAACAGCGCCCTTCGCTCCCTCACCGGCACGTACTTCGCCACCGCCTCGTGCGCATTCGGCGAGCAAGACCTCGCTCTGCTCTCCAGCGATGCGGTTTTCCGTCTCGCCGCCTCCATCGCGTGCCTGCCCCGCTCCGCGCCCCCCGCCGTCCCCTCCCAGCGTTTTAGGTAACGATGGCGACCTTGCTCCGATTCCCCGGAGCGCGCCGCGCGCGGCAGCGTGTGGTGTTGCGCGTTCAGTTTGCTGCAGTTGTCGCATTTGATGACCTCCGCTTTCCGCACAGGCGCGTCGACCACGTCTGTGGTTTTCAAAGCGTCGAGGGAGAGGGTCAAGTCGAGGCTGCGATCGGACGATGAGTCGTAGTCGTCGTCTTCCACGACGATGCCCTCGTCGGTCGCGGCGGGCGAGTGGTCCCGGCGCGGCAGCTGCGTCTCGGTGGAGGTCAGCAGCCTCCGGCGAGCCCGCGGCGGCGGTCGGGGAGGGCAGGAGGGCGTCTCCAGGAGCGAGGCCTCCTTCTTTGGTTCTTTGGCTGTGTCCGCGGCTGACAGTACGTCCAGGAATCGGACTTGTGGTAGCGGTGTTTGGCCGAGTATCTCGACGCAGAGCGCGCGCACCCATTTGGCATATTCCGCCGCATTGCATGTCTGCAACAATGAGAGAATTATGTTAACACAAAACTTATTTATGGCTCTATTATAACAAAGAACGAGAATCGGGTTTAATCCTGGTATAATCGGACCGGAATGAGGAATTCAAATGCGTTTGTCTAGGGTGACGATAATGAAACGGGCTATTTGAAAGAGGAAACTAGTCCTGGTTACATTATGTCGAGATCAAGTTCTAGGGATTGATCAAACGTGATTTCTTTACTTGTCAACACCTTCGCGATCTAGCCCTTCTTATGGTAAACAGCCCCATCAAAAGGTCGCCACACAAAAGGCGATGATTTACGACGTTTCGTTTTATAGAGGCATATAAAAGTGAGCGAATCGTGAGAATGTCGCCTCGAAGGGGTCTCGCAAGACGTTGCTTAAACTTCCTCTTAAGAATAAGTAGGTTTAACCAGCAATACGAACGGATGTGATAATAATTTCTTAAGAATATTGCAAGGAACGGCGTCGTGTGTCTCTAAAATTATTACCAAATCGACTCTAATTGAACTCGTGTTATCTAAACTAGATCTGTGGGCGCGCCGCTAATGTTTTTACTTTCTTATCGAGTATTGCGAGTACTCAAAAGATAGTGTCGAAAATGTTCAGTTGGGTTATCAGCGTTCGATATTTGTGCCATGTCTCAAAACATTTTATGTGGTCATTAACTAAAGATTCTACTGTGTCATTACTGGGAGCAGTGGCTATTATTTATGAAAGCATTGTCGTATAGACAATGACCACGGTGTACGTGACCGAACGACTGATCGCAAGTCAGTACTTAAGTTAAACATGCAATCAAGATTTGACTGTTTTTGTTAAGCGAAAAAACTAACGAACCGGTTTGGTGCCTTTCTAAACTACATGTGACTTAAGCACGTTGAGAGGTTGTAAAAATTAAAATTCTCATGTTTACTTTTTCACACTTGCAAATATTAACTTGGCGTTTAACAAACATTGACAAGTTTTTAAATTGTATTTTTTGCTCAAACAGTTCAGCGTCCATGGAGAGCCTTCAACAAGGCGTTACAAATAAGTAAGATTATTACTAGCTTATGAATCAAACGAGATTATATTGAGCTATGTAATTTAGGCCAGTACAAACTGGTGTTGCCTGAATACTGGTTAGTATACAGACGAAATGAATTCTAACCTACAATGTTATTCGATTAATATTCGATTTCAGTTACTCAACCACTACCAGGAACAGTACGAGTAACTTTTAATCGCTAGCAGTTAGTACAACAAATAATCGATTAGATCACGAGGAACGATCTAATAACAGACACGATGAGTTCCGATCACTATTAATTTTCACCGATTACCCAAGTTTTCATGAAGTTAATGATAATGGAAATAAGGCATTATCCGGATGCTTCGTTTTCCTGACTACTAATTTATGATGTTTCCAGCAGTAAGTAGTTATTATTTACTATCGATATTGATGGGAACATCGATGCTAACAACCTACTTAATCTTCTAATGGATGACCAATCCATTTGTTTTCAGTTTTATTGTGAAGAAGACTTACGAAATTTTATATTGAAACAATATCACAAGTCTACTTAGTTCTTGACTGGAACAGAGGTCATGTAAATAGGCTTATAAGAATGTAATTAGAAATATCTAAAATGCCTGAGTTAGAGTTAATAATAGATGGTGGCAACAAAATAGGTGAGTGAAACTAAAAACAACTTTAAAGACACAAAAAATTAAAAAGTAATAATATGACGCTTGATGATAATGATGCGAAATTTATTTCCTATCGATACTCCGATTCGCAACACTAGCCACAATGAAGACCGTCACGCGATAGGAACTGGCAGACAAAAACGTTTTCGACCGTTTTGATTGCTTTCCCGGATATCGGCAGGATGTTTTGTCGCGGAAACGAAAGTTTGCTTGCGGCTACACTAGTCTGCTGGTTAAAACGATTGTAGATTATGATGACAAGCGCATCTTCCGTCAATAGTGTTAAATTTTGTCGATAGTTGGGTCGGGTACTGTTAATCAGTATGGACATGTATGAAAGTGCGCACATTGGTATCGGCTGATTCTTCATGCTAATTAGAATCAGGTCCAACTATCGGCCAACTAAAAGTCTGCAGTCTGCGGGGAGTTTAAGATCCATTACTACGCTAGACTTAGACATTTAGGTAAACTATAGTAATAAAAATATTTTTCCTTCTTTCAAAACATATTTATGTCTCTAGATTAATAAAAAGGATATGGTTAAAAATAACCAAAAGTTAAGATTAAGGTCCGGGTTTTAGAATTGAGATGATATAAATTGAGATGAAATTTTTGGCTTGGAAATCTTAATACCGAAAACTTTACACTGAATCTATGGGACAAAACGATATTTCGGCTGCTTGCTTAACTATAAACAGATGTCGCTTTCTGAGCTCAGTCTACCTGCTTTTTAATTGGTGCAGAAAAAATAAAATTGGGAGCATGAGACGTAAATTCTTCCTTATTTATGTCTAGCAAAAACTTTAAAATGATCGCGTGACTGCCGCCTCTGAATGGACAGTTTCGTATACTCATTATAGTGAGACTGTTATGTTTAAAGTAAATAATAGGTTAGTGTTATCACGTAACACCGCACACAGAGCTTGCTAAACACCTCCAACAAATAGCTGCTGTAATAAAGAAAATGGGAGACATGGTAATACCCGGAATCAATTAATATTGATCTGATTTAACAAAATATAGTTCGTCTAGGTTCTGGTTAAAATTGAAATCCTGACCCTAAACAGTTTAAAATCTGTAATGCAGAACAGAGTTTACGAAAAACTGAATTTTAAAAGCAATTTCACAGATAGCTTGGTTCATCAAAACAAGTGGGATTATTTTGTTTTTAAATATTGCAAAAGACAAAGAAGTATTGCCCTTACTTCTTCATCCCTGGCTTCCGTGGTCACGACGGCTCTACCTTGCCCCCAGAAAATAATTGTTAAATTAAATAAATGCATGAGCCAGAAAGTTCCGACAACAGCATGCTGTACAACATTGGGGGAATAAATGAATAGAAACTTTACTATTATGTAACTGAAAAATGTCTAGAGATGACAATTCTGGGGTGACATGAGTTAAAAGCTTAAAAGTTTGCCAACCTGTGGCATTAAGCAAACACTGTATTTCATCTCTCATTAGCACTTACATTTCTGTCTGAAACCTTGACTAATGAGTGCATTAACTCCTTTTGCAGCTGACCTTATCTACACATTAGATTTAATTGCATCTTTTTATAAGAAATCGTAACACTTTATATGCGTTTAACTTAGAAATACGAGTGGCCATGGTGTTAAAGTCAACCTTCAACTGTTCCAATGTAAAAAGCCATCACAAAAATCACAAAGGCAATTCGTCATAAGCTATAACAATGGGAAACCATAACCTTATAGTGTACTGTGTAATAAACACACATTAAGTGTGTACATAGGAAATAAAGATATTAATTGGTATTTAAGAGATAAGATTTACATAATATAACGTGGCGTAAAAAGCATTTACGCCTAATCCTTTGTCGAGACTTAAATAATCAAATTAAATTTATGGTCTGGTAACTTTCAGAAAGTAATGATAGGTTTGAAAATGTGTTTGTTGTGGTGGGAAAAACCAAAATTTAGTCAAATGAGGTCAGTAACAGTCAGAACTTAGCTTTGTTCTTATAAAGTTTTTGTGATTTTTAGTGTTCACATTTTAACGTTAATTCTTTGGTTTCTTATAAGTATTCTTTTGATAAATGATCCGTCGATTATTTGCATTTTGTATAAGACGCGAATTTTTCACACTACAAGTGACAACATTAAATTTTTAGCTTATTCCTAACAGAAAACGCAGTCAATAATAAAATGTGAGAACATTATGAATAGAATACCACTACAAAGATCTCAGCCTGTTCGACCCGAAGCAGATTCGTTGAGCTTTTTATTAAGAATCTTTCAGTGAAAGCGATTGTATGAAAACGAAAGCAAACAGCTAACAAGTTTCTCTGCGGCCGATCCGTTAGACCCGGGGTCACGACCGGGGCCTGCTCATTCATACGTCGACCTTGTCACAAATGTGGGGTATATGCTTGTCAGAATTCTGGGTATTCTGTTATGTCATGAGACATTTGACAGTTTGGAAGAAACCCTGGATATTGACCAAAGAGTTTAACTTGCAGAGTATGTTTTACTATGGCCTTAATCTCTGAAAAAGAGTGCATTACATTATACTAATAATGTGGTAAAGCAAACAGCTAACCTTTCTCTGCGTCTGATCCGTTAGACCCGGGGTCACCGGGCTCATTCATACGTCGACCTTGTCAGAAATGTGGGGAATATCTTCTGGAATATGCTTGTCAGTTTGATATCAATTCTGGATTTCCTTTGATGGACATAAGTAGGACAAAGGTTTTATCTAGCAGAGTGCGTTTTATGGCCCTAAGTTCGCATTAAATGCTACAAATAATTGTAAAGCAAAGTTAAGAAGTTTTTGAGGTTCGTCTTGTTAGACCCGGGGTCACGACCGGGGCCTGCTCATTCATACGTCGACCTTGTCAGAAATGTGGGGAATATGGTATATAATATTATGCTTGTCAGAATTCTGGATATTTTGTGATGTCATGAGACATTTGACAGTTTGGAAGAAACTCTGGATATTGACCAAAGAGTTTAACTTGCAGAGTATGTTTTACTATGGCCTTAAGCTCGCCTTATGCTACTAATTAATGAGGTATAGCAAATAGATAACAAGTTTCTCTACGTCCGATCCGTTAGACCCGGGGTCACGACCGGGTCTTTGCTCATTCAGTCCTTGTCAGAAATGTGGGAAATATGGTCTGTAATATTGTTAGATGCTTGTCAGTTTGGAAGGAACCCTGGATATTGACCCAAAGGTTAACTGGCAGACTATGTCTTATGGTATTAAGTGACAAATTAATTCTTGTGGCGTAGTTTTGGGCCGACATTGTGTAGGTTTGTTGTCGACACGACAAGAAGAAGTGACGTCTACTTAATTACTTAAAAAAGATAGCGATAACGAACTTCAATCTGTCACGATTACTAATTGGTCTAGAGGCCTAGGAAAATCATAATAGATAATAAGCACGCAAGTAAGATAGGTCATGCACGCAGCACACACGACGCGTGTTAATTTGCATTAATTAATTCGCTCGATTCCATTACAAATTAATATTCAAATCGAGCAAAAACGTCACTTTCATTACTGCAACAGCATTACAAGCAACAAGAAAAGTGACTGCATGAAGATGTAGGTAGACTCAAACACCCGTAGTCACAAACATTACTATGAGGTCTCACAGTGAGCGTAAACGCACAGAATCCCAAAAACCTATTTATAGACAATACTTGAGTGGTGGAGTGACATACACGAATCAATCACAGAGCTCTATTCAACGCTGTGCGGTCGACTTCGCATAGCGTTGCTGCTTCACTTAAGCAACTCTTCTAGACGCTTTTCCTTTGCTCTACAGTGCCATAGTCGATGAGTTTGAAAGTAAAGGTGCGTTCACCTTGCTACGTTAAATAGACGCCCATGCGTGTAACAGGGCGTGTGAACACGAATGTCACACGCCACGTAATACCACGTAAACTTTAATTGACATCAGAGAGACATGACATTATAGGCGCAATGTATAAAGCGAGATAAATACAGAAGAAATGTACGAGCAGTTAGCTTTTATATATCTTATACGAGTAGTATTCTCTATGTAAAAGGTGCATAAAATCACAAAAAATATGAGATAGTTACTTAGACAATTTTCACGGATTGTATTGCATACAACTTGAATTATTTAACGTTTCAAGAAAACTTAATATGCCGAAACTTATCAGAGTTTAGCTGAGTGATGAGATGTCAGAACATTGTCAAACCAGTCAAGATTAGCCTTATCGTGCGATCGCATGCGACCAAACGATTTCACACCGGGAAACGTAAGAGAAACGTGACACTCCGAGCGGAGCCGACGGAAATGCTAATGCTAAATATAGGAATGTACCGTATGAGCAACTAACAGGTGTCATATTATCTTCCTACTTAGGGTAAGTTGTATGTTCCAAGCCAAGTTGAATAGAAATTGAAAGGCTATGATCATGTGGGTTTCTATATTTACCTCTTTCTTAGTGTAAAACACTAAGCTGACAGAATAATTTTAGCTCAATTCGGTTGTTTGAATCAGCGAATGTCTTCAAACTTCTAAGACAAAAACTTCTGAAGAAATATAAGTTATAGCCTGACCAGGAACATAAAAACCCTGGCATAGTGGCGCGTCAATTACATTTGATAGTGCAACACTGAGTACAGTCGTACTTGTGTTAAATTAATTGGCTAACTTTATGTATCAGGATTCAGGATTACGGGCTAATTTGATATTTTCATAAATTAACGAAAAAATATTATTATAGGTAACCTTATTTAAATAAATTAAATGAAACCATCAATCGAGCTAGTAGATTTATTTTATTATTCATCAATAATCAAATTCAGAACTTGAATATTCAATTGCAATGTTTGCTCATGAACGCTTCAAACTCGGTACTTCTTTCCCAATCTCATAAAATTCAACACTTAGAAAGTGTCAAAATTTTTAAAATAGGTAGTTGAAACAAACCACAGCTAATTTTCATAGTGGACTGTACTATACAATAAACATGTCAGTCCATTTGACAACCTTTGTCGGAAACATTATTCAATGAAAATATTGTCCGAACCCTTAGTATTTCTCTTCGACGAATACTTTAACACATTGTGAACCACTTTTCTTTCACGACTATAAAAATATTTTAGCAATTTAATTCATAAAACCTATTGCACACATTTAAAATAAAGTTTGTTTACACTTTGACAGCAATAGACTGACATGCAAGGTGACATGTCAATGAAGTTTTCAGTTACTGTTGCCATTAAAAGAAATTAGTACCATTAGTTTTCCGCAACATGGCGAGGGTTTTTATGTTCCTGGTCAGGCTATAAAATGATGACACTCGATAGGTAAATACAGACACTAGAGAACGCGAAATTTATTCCACGAAATATTTCTTCTCTTATAGTTTTATTTGTACCTCTCTCCTTGTATGAATTACTTTACGTGAAAACTGTCACCAGTAGTGCCTTTATGAAGCCTTGACACCAGAAAGGATTCAGGCTGTGCTCCCGTGGTAGTCACGAGCTCAACTACCGGACCTAAGTACGATAAGGCCATGAACTAGTCTTTGAAACTTATTCAGCTCTTTACCTGAAAAGTTCATTTTTTTTCTCTTGCGCCAGGCTACCTAAGTACACCTATTGCCTCGAGCGGGTTTTGGAAACTTCTTTATTTCTTTACCTGAAAAGTGGCAACGGCAGAGTCGTCGCGCATCCTCGACAGCTGGAAGGCATTAGGCAGGGTAGGGGCTGTGCGTAGGTGGAGCCCTCGCAAGGGCAGCCTGGCAGCAGGCCTCCGAGGCAGGGGACCTAAGTACACCTATTGCCCTCGAACAGGTCTTGGAAACTTCTTTATTTCTTTACCTGAAAAGTGGCAACGGCAGAGTCGTCGCGCATCCTCGACAACTGGAAGGCATTAGGCAGGGTAGGTGCTGTGCGGAGGTGGAGCCCTCGCAAGGGCAGCCTGGCAGCGGGCCGCCTAGGCAGGGTACCCTCGCGCCAGGCCAGCAGGCAGCCGCCTCGCACGGCGGCCCGCACCCACGCCCAGGATACGTTGTCGTCATTGTAATACTGACGGAGGACTCCTGGGGACAATGAGACGTCGCATTATTGATAAATTTTACTTCGTTCGTAAGTTGGATTCAGCTAAAAGACGTCCACAGCTGGACAAAGGCCTTCCCCAAGGATTTCCACAACGACCGATCCAGGTAATTCCACTTGCTTCTTGTAAAGTTAATGATTGATAATGATAACTTCAAAGGACATTGATAACTTTTCTATTGTAAGCTGCTAGCAAATACTATAATAGAGTCAATGTGCTTCTATGGAGAATCTATTTGAGTAATTGAGTTTATCGTGCCATATTTTTACCTCCTTATACTAACAAAGATTTTAATACTTAGTGAGCTGAATAGATCATGTATTAATGTTTGATGATTGTTTTGTATGACCAGTTTTCAATCGATCCTAAATATCCTAATTACGGTCACTTTTCAGGAAAAAAGGCTCTGAAAATTAACATCACAAAAGGATGGCACTCCTGTGGGTCTATTTACAAATGAAAGCTCAAAAAAGTATGTCAACTGTCATCAATTACATGTGCTTGTTCTACATTTTGGCTATAAATAAGTGCCACCGCGTGGTTGCGAGCGTTACAAAGCGTATTCGTGTCCCCAGAGATAAAGGCGCGTTTTTTCAAAAGCTATTTTAATTCCAAAGTATACATATTACATAATTACCAAACTATCCTAGATGGATAATTAAACGGTCAAATAAGATAACATTTTAAGTGGTCTACGTAATATCACAAAAATAATGAGTGTTGGTTTTGTCTATATTTTTAGACTAAAATGATACAGAAAATTTAATCAAATAATTATTTGCAGTGACGTTGAATACGATTGTCAAACTTAAACCACTCATCATTTTGGCTTCAGATTTGGCATCTCTGGAAATTCTCAATTTATCTAAGAGCCTATAGATGTGATTGGCGCGTTATATCAACACGTGAGGTGTTTCGCGGACAATCGTAGGCAAAGTGGTAGTTTACGTAAAAACTGACACAACAGAGAGAGATTTAGTAGACACACAGTTAAATTGGTTCGAATAAGTTAAGCACAGCACCACACCACACACAATAAGCGGTCAGCGCGTGAGGTAGAAAATTGTAAACATACTCGTAGTTGATTTTTTGTTCGAAGCATAAGTAACTGAAAGCTTTTACGAAATAGCAAAATTTATTTTATTGATGAATCTTCCTGAAATTATCTTTATGAAATTAAATAATTTAATGATTTGTGTTGTGGTCCATTTTCAAAACATTAAATGTGAAAATTTTTATTTCTGAAAATCGAGGATAAAGCGTGGATTGTATAGGTTATGTACTATCGGGGACTCTTCCGCCTGATCACTTTGTAGAAATTTTAGCGTAAGCGCATCGCTCCGGTCACGTGCTCACCCCGTCTCTAATTGGTTACGCATTTTACTATATTTTTACTACGACCAATAAGAGACAATCAGGGCTTAGGTTGCAATACGAAATACCATTGTGCACTTTATTGTCATAGGGTTAAGGTTTAAAACGAAATGTTTCTTTTTCTTCAATCTTTCTTAGTTTTAGGCTGAGTTGCACCATCTAACTTTGACCGTAACTATAACGGTAACCGGTGCTTTTTGTATGGAGTTTGACAGAATTTTGACGTTTGTTAAAGTTAAAGTAAGATGGTGCAACTGAGCCTTAGAATTTTAATAATAGAATTTGGTTACAAACAAATAGATATGTATTTTTTTTAATATTGTGTTTTTATACGAGGTCTGTCTGCTTTTTGCTTTGGCGATCTGTCGACATATTCTCTCCTTTGTTTTTTTGTGAAGTTTCGTGATCAATAACCGATTGATTTGTGTTGACCCGTGCTAGTAATTGGACTGTTTGATTGCCTTTTTATTGACCTCCGCTCGATTACTGAACCATGCCTCTCAAAATAATTCTTATATTTACTTACAAACTTATCTATACATTGTTAACTGTTTAAGTGTTATTTAGTTTGAAGTTTAATTGTTATAGATTTAAGACCTTGTGTAAAGACACTTAATGTGCAATAAAAAATTGAATTTGAAATAAAACTAACTTAATATTATAATATTTACGATAACCAATTACCTGGATCATTGCTACCTAGTGCAATATTTATATTAAATTTTAATAACGTAGATAAGTGTTTCTTTAAAACGGAAAACAAAATATGCATTAAAAATAAATAGAAACCTATTATAAGTTTTTATTAACATTCAAGGATTTAAGAAAGTTATAGCCAGATCTTACAATAATTGTTTTTAAGCCACAAATATTCCTTAACTCTTTACTAATTAATTCAATAACATATTGTTTTAAATTATTAGTTCCGAATAAATTAAATACCTATTAAATAAGTAAAATTCGAAAGTAATTGTATGATTTTGTATTTCTCGCCCTAACTAGCTAAACTAATATCATGAGATTTACACTCATAATATCAACAATAATTGTAGAAAGGGCTACTTTTTTCTCGGGAAATTGCATAGTTACCTCGGAATGTGCGATAGCAATTTTGTGACCCGAGCGGGCAATCGCTAGTTCAAATTTTACACGAAGCCTCATATAATATTTTGTAGCGATTCTTAATTGGGTTTCAAATTGACTAAAATGCGACGTTGCCAAACGAGCGCTACGGATGCGGGTAATAGGCAATACTCAATCCTAAGTGCTTTACATAGAGCTTGGTTTGCTAGGGCAAACATCTACAGTGGTGCGCCGACGCTGCTTAGACTCGAAACATGAATGAACTGGGAAATCGAGCGTGTGTGTGCAAACAATTTAGGCCCTTAAGGTGTCAAGGCGTTCGAGTCCCCGATAGTACCTAAATTATAAATAATAAATAGCCTGAAGTTCCGCAGATCATAATAAAATGGCGTATAGCAACCATCGTTTGTTAATTTTTAAAACAAGCACAAGATTTTCGAGGAGGACAAGAAAGAGATGAATCCATTGCTGACTATTACATTTGCTTGGCGGTTCTACTACATCCACCTAACGTGTTACAACAGTTACAAGGAAAATATTCAGCAATTTGTTGCTGGGCAAAACGTATAGGCACATTGAATGTAGGGAGAAAAATTGATTGTCAAGTGACGCAAACTGCCTACAGTATTTTCATAACAAAGTGATTTACCGCAATGAGTAACATACGATACGAGGGTGTTATGTGTGTAGCACGTACACATAATTTATTAAGAGGTATGTGCCTAATTTGGATTACTAATGTTTGGCCAAAAAACGTTTCCCAAATTATCACATGGCAAACAACGTTTCGCAAATTTTCATTTGGCAAATTCTCATTTGGCAAAACAACTTATTGCAAACTTTTAATTCGCAAATGTCTTTTTTGGCATATTATTGTTTAGCAAATTATTGTTTGGCAAAGTATGTTTCATTTGGCAAAAATATTTCACGATAAACTATTTACAAAATAATTATTTTGGTGCATAGAATGGAATACAAATTAGCTTGTGGTTATTATTTTGTTTAGTGGGTAGTATATAATATTTGTTCTAAATTTATTTTCATATTTCATTATTTTTATCGAAACTAAATGATTAATTAACAATAGAGGTGATTCTAGCGCTCGGCGGCCGCTGCCGCGGCACGCTTCGCTCGCCTTCGCGCGTTAAGGGTCACTGTTCTAACCTAACCTAACCTACTATTTTCTGCAAAACCTACTTTCGCATCCATACTATTTTCTGCAATCTCTTTGTTTTACATAAAATTCTTGTGAAAACCATGATCATTTGCCTTGTGCTTTGATTTGTGGGTAACGGTGGGTAAGCATGTGAAGTGTCAATTTGACCAAATAAATTATTTGGGATATAATATTTGGCAAAATAAAACATTTGCTATATAAACATTTGCCAAGTAAAATTTGACCAAATGATAATTTGACCAAATGAAATAGTTGCGAAAAGTACATTTGCTAAAAGTTCATTTGGGAAATGAAACTTTGGCGATAAGTTGTTTGCGAAGTGAAATTTGGCGAAAAGTAATTTGGCCAAACGGAAGGATACCGCCTAATTTGCATATTTTACGATTGGTCGTACGTAGTAGAACCTACCAGTAAATAGAAAAAAAAATTTGATGCACCAATTATTATAACATGTTAATTTTCAATTCATTAAATAAACATTTTGTTCGCGGCGTTTTGTATCAGTCATTATAATTAACAACAAAACTATTTACGTGGCTAAATGCATTAATTAGTAAAATAAACAACGAGAACAATTAAAGACAACTAGACAGCTAGTCTAGGCGTAAAGTCTATAAGTTTACTTAACTGAGTCATCAAAGAACAAATTGACCGTTATAAAAAACAGTTAATGAGCAACGTGATTTGCTAAACAATTCAAACAATTAATTGTCATAAGGTTTTTGTTATCTGAACTTCCGTTTAAAACGGATTAAAACATTGTTTTGTTGATAAAATTAAACTAAAAAAAATTTCTGTTTAGCCGAGTGGTTATTTTATTTTTTATTTATTTAACTTTAAAAAGAAATGTACAGTCAGCCTTCTTCTTTAAACAATAGCTTAAACTAAATTAATTTGGCGCTTAAATGTTCTGAAGCTTTTGTGGCTCTGGGTTCAGCTCTTGTTACCTACTACTTTAAATAAAATATTAATGAATTGCAGTAACCAACATAGGTATTTGTATTATTTTCAGCTGTAGTGTTAAACTACTTTAAAACTATTAATCCTTCGACACTCGACTAATTTAATTACATGTTATCAATGTCGTTTTATTCGCATGAATATGAATGCGCCGTATTATTTTAAAAGGGGGATTTACATAAAATAATTAATTTCACGCCCCTTAATCGGCATGGCAACAAATCAATTCGGACGCGCTTGCGCTGCATAATTAGTTCGTTAAAATAAAAATAAACGACTTCTCGAGATCGGACACATGTGGTGGACACTTGCAATTTTTCGCGCAGCGGGGAGCCTCAGCCGACACATTTTTGTTTGGTTTTAATAATCTTTTTAAGCCCCTAAATGTTCCTTATAAGGAACAAATACAACAGTAAAAAATATCTTGCCAAGGAGGAAGTACATAACGTCTGGTATTGTTAGTTTGCTTGGATAAACTTGAACCATCTTTCTGAAAAGAAAATTATTCCCTCGTATATCCGATATCCGAACGTGTCCGAACCTCCTAGTTTATGTCGCAAGCCTTCTAGGCTTCTGAAAAGAACTCTCTGCTAATGAAAAGAACCCAGTTGCCTGTTATTATTTGACAGACATTTTGGTTACTTTTATGTGACAAAGATCAGATCATTATTTATTTGACCATAGTTGGTACGACTACTTCTTGAAAAGTAAATGTCAACTTAGCTTATAGAGATAGGCTAAGGCCGATATTAGCGACATTTAAAACTCTTAAAAAAGCTTAGATTTGCCTGTGTTTGGTTGATTTTAAAGTTCAATGACAACGTGAGTAAAACTCTTATTTGATTGCCATTTCTCATCCCAACTAATATTATAAATGCGAAAGTAACTCTGTCTGTCTGTCTGTCTGTTTGTCTGTCTGTCTGTCTGTTACGCTTTCCCGCTTAAACCTCGCAACCGATTTTGATGAAATTTGGCATAGAGATAGTTTGAGTCCCGGGAAAGAACATAGGATAGTTTTTATCCCGGTTTTTGAAACAGGGACGCGCGCGATAAAGTTTTTCTGTGACAGACAAAAATCCACGCGGGCGAAGCCGCGGGCGGAAAGCTAGTACGTTATAATATCCCAATCCCAAGCACAATAATTAAACGGACAATGGTCTATCTAAGTCTCTATGATCCAGTTTCGAACATGATACGGACCTATCGTCTAAACGTTCGCTGTTATGACCATAGTTTCTGTGTCCATTCTATAATGTTAATGACGGTTTGATGTAAAAATAACCAGCAGGTTGAAGGCTACACAAATCGCATGAAATTGTGGCACTACGGTAAATTAGTATAACTCATCGTGCCAAACGTTACATTGTCAAGTTCATCCGGCCGCAATCGACCTTTATCACGGAGTTGTTTCCGAGAATGATGGACACAATACTGTTTTTGTTTGGGGGCGTTGAAGAATATTTTTTGCAATGTTATTCGTATCAAAACAATATGGCGAACTGAAATTAATTATCATACATAATTATGTTAATACAGACTGTTATTAGCATTTTTAAGGTCTCGTAGATGTTTAAAGACGGCTTCTTATATTTGCTAACACATTTAATCGGTCTGTCACTTAATGATCGGTTGGTAGCGGCCTGCATCCAGCGCCTACGTTCAGCAGTGGACGTCCTATGGCTGATATGATGCTAACAACACTTAACTGAAAATCACATAGTGCGATGGAAATGTACGAACCCTCTTTAAGACAGTCGTACTTGGCTGGTGTTTCATAAAACACATAAAAAATAGGTAAATTATATCTATGGTATTTGTTTACAAACACGCGGCATGTTCAGCATGAGTTTGCATTTGTGTAGGTGGTTTATTTTTCTCAGTATCGAATGGGAACTATAGTAAGTAGGCACAGTCAAGGTCAAATAGTTAGTGGCACCCAAAGTGGCCAAAAAGTCGACAACACAACTTTTTTTTATCCACAACGAGGAAGCTCTTGGCCTGTATCTCACCTGATGGTAAGTGACGATCAGGCCGAAGGTGGAAGCCAGCTTCACCCGGAATCCTTAACCACGGAGGAACTGGCTATCTTACCTACCTTCTAACTGCCCAAACGCAACAATGCTGTTCATATTATTGTTATGGCGACAGACTTAGGTAAGATGGTGGTAGCTAGCCAGGCGGACTTAGAACAAGCCCTACCACCAACCAAACCGAACAGAAAAATCTGCCCCCACTGGGAATCGAACCCCGGACCTCTTCGTCTGAAGCAGGTGGTCTTACCGCTAGACCACAGAGGCGGTTATGACACAACTTAGACGAACTTCTTGGCTACTTTGGGTCACGAACTATCTGACGCTGACTGTACCTATAATAACGTAACGTAAATTTGTTTCGAGTAGATTTTTATTTCGGTTTATTCAGAGTTAAACTCAGACGGATTCTGGAATACGATGACAGGTTAATAAGATAAGTAGGTTACTAATCATGATTGTTTTACTTCAGAAAAGGCAATTTACAAATAACAAAATTGCCAAGTCTTTAATTTTTGCCATAAGAGAAAAAATAACAACACAGAAAAAACTGTAGCAAGTCGACTTAAGTATTGACATTTGACGTAAAGTTTAATAATAACTAACCAACAGGTGAGTGATGTAGAAATGTCAAGAGTAATAAGCTTCAAAATTGCAATGGACCCGAACAATTTATGGTTTCGGTATTAAAATACTTAGTCCAGTCATTTCGTCAGAAAAAAAGGCAAATAAAATAAAATGAATTTGCGCTTCTAATTTTTTAATATGTTGTAAACATATTAAAAAGTAAAAAGAAAATACCTAGAAAAGCTTAACTTGAGATTGTCGACCAAGCTTTCCTAGGAGCTTTCGCCGCCATCTTGGAAAACGCTTAAAATTTGTTTTTCGGCAATAACTCGGCTATCCGATGAGATTCGAAAATTTTTGTAGGACACTTTTTGTAGCTTTCTTTGTGCTCTACAATAACGCCCGAACCATTTTTAGCGTATCATGCATCGTTATCGAGATATCGATCGATAAAGTCAAAAATTTTGGACACAATTTTTGTTTTTTTCTTTTTTTTTCTTTGGGTCTTAATAAAATGAAAATGAAAAATTCCGAAATAATTAGTTAGGGTCTTAATGAAAAATTCCGAAATAATTAAATAATTAATTAAAAAGTAAAAAGTAAAATTTCATTACTTTTAATTACTTTTTTTTAAGTAACGGCAAAGCATTTGTATTAGTTGGTTCTTGTTTTGAGTCCTTGTGAGAAACTTCTCCTGGCTAACTTTTGGAGTAGTTGTCTCATCGAATGTGAACTCCGGCGATTGGTTTTTTCTCGAACGTCGTACTCTTTCCGAAGTTTTCGTTCCAGCGAGTGTCATATCAGTCGGATAACCGTCGAATATGATTGCAACCTTTCCTTCGAAGTTATGTTGTACGTATCTGACGTTAATTATTTAATTATTCCGAAATAATTTGTGTCCAAAATTTTTGACTTTATCGATCGATATCTCGATAACGATGCATGATACGCTAAAAATGGTTCGGGCGTTATTGTAGAGCACAAAGAAAGCTACAAAAAGTGTCCTACAAAAATTTTCGAATCTCATCGGATAGCCGAGTTATTGCCGAAAAACAAATTTTACCCCTTTTTTCAACATGGCGGCGAAAGCTCCTAGGAAAGCTTGGTCGACAATCTCAAGTGAAGCTTTTCTAGGTATCCCCTACAACATATTAAAAAATTAGAAGCGCAAATTCATTTTCTTTTTTGAATGTACGTAATGACTGGACTAACTACAATTTTCACGTTTTAAGAGATAACATAATGGTTTCTTGAATATTAACGAGTCGGGTAGATAGGGGAGGTAAAACATATAAGATCTAGGTACACAGTTTAACATCATGCTGACATGTGCATGTGTTTTTTTTACTCACTAACAATCAAAGTCCAGTCTTTCGAAGATAATAGCTACCTAATTGGACATTTTGAGTTTTGAATTCCATATTTTTATAGCAAACTAATAAAGCTTTTCATAGCAATATTTGCCAGTCATAAAGCATTGCTAGAATATTGCAAAAACAATATTAACTAATTAACCGGATTTCAGTAAAGGAGAGATGGATCAAGTTTGAGGTCAATGACCTTTACCAAAAAAATTAGAAGTGAACACGCATTTTACAAAGGGTTTATTCGTTCGCCCGCGAGTCCCTAATAGACCTAATTATTTTTTTGTCCGGCGAATTGACTTCTGGTCACGCCAGGTGTTTTTCAAGTCTAGGCCAGCGCATTTACCTATGTTGATTGAAGCACACGCACTACCTACTGGGTTTTTCAAATTACCTATTTGTGATAATAAATTATAGGCTATTGTTATCTTATAAACAATAATTAGGTTAGTAAGAGGAGGAGATTCGATTATTACCTACCTATTATGTAAAAATTACTTAAATGTCCTAGTAGGTAGGTACCTACCTATGTAAGATAATTAGAATAAAATTGTTTTAAATGTAGGTTACCTAATACCTATATGTTCTTAGTAGTGAACACGATTCTTTTAACTCACGAGGGAAGAAGTCAGCTAGGAGATTAATTTGAATTGACCACTGACCAGTCAGAATGGATGGAAAGTAGGTAGGTAATTGGTATTTTTGGCATTTGGCTGTAGGTAGGTACCTACCAGAGATTCTAGTTTGATTCTCTTCTACTGTCTCTAAACTCTCTCTAAACAATGCAAGTAAAATGTTGTCTAGTGAGTGAACCTTCAGATGCCAACAAAAATGCACAGCCTGTAAGTTATAAGTAGGTAACCTAAATAACGTAGGTATGGTAATGTAAACAATAACGTATCGGCTCGACATGAACGATATTAATTCATGAACTGACCTGATATCCTCAAATTTGGATCAGCTGGTGTCGGCACAGGGCCCGGGGTCAACTCAGGGTTCAACTTCCTCAATCCGGCCACCACTCGTGGTGCCGGCGACTGTTCCCCCACGAGCATCTCACAACATTTTACCAATGATCACAACACCACAATCATAACATCACAATTATCACAGCTCTGTAAATCCAAAACTTCGATGGTCGTTGTCAAACTAATCAAAACAACTCAAAATGTAGGTAACTGTCAAATCGTTTTTTAAACGTCGAAAAAGTTCGTTAAACGCGCGCGCCTCATTACATTGTTCGTTCACAACCAGTCGCGTTCGACGACTGTCCTGTCAGGCCTGCGCGGCAATGAATGAATGAATTTGATTTGCTTGGGTTGTGCCCGCCCCTCTACCACAATCTACGCTTACTACTACGAGTAAACAAAAACACGAATGGCGGCGGGCGAACGGTTCATCACTGAAGACGTCTAACGCCATCTAGCGGTGAGTAGAATCATTAATCAAAGTTTATTAAATGTACATAGGTATAAATAGTTTGATGTTTATTCCAGTGATCAAATGGAATAATTATGGTTAAAGTCATTTCAATTTCTCATAAGTATAATTAATTAAAATATAATGTTATTAATCAAAGCATAAAAATATTAAAACATTCTGAAGAAACAAATTTTAATGATAAAAATAATAATATTATACAGACATCTATCGGTGAGTATTATAGTTAATAACCATGCTTTCAAAGCACACCAATAGTGACATCTGTCTTTAGTAAGCTAAACGAAATGTCTTGTTTTCCACTGCTAATTTAAGCATAGTGTACTTATGTGCTTTTAATCGCAAGTTGTGGATCGCTGATACTTCTTATAGTCAACAATAGATGGCAGTGTAAGTTTCATATTTTCGACGAAAGATGTCGCGACTAGTAATGAAAAAGCTTCACATTTTCGCGCCACCAAAGCTAGGCATCCCCATGTGATATAGAAATGAATTTTATTAGACATACTTATCCTATTAATGTATTTATTTTGTACTTGTATCGAATAATTATAATTTTTCTTTCTAATATTTTTCAATACACTAGGACTAGCTTTTGACAGCTCTACAAATAGCGTACCTATTGTTTTTTTTTTAATTTAAAACCTACATAACCTACATTAATAAATCACTACAACAGTAGAGAACATAGTTTTTTGCTAAGATTTTAATATCTGGGCTGGGCGTTCATGTAGTCATGGAGGTAATCCAATTTAGTTACTTTTATCATAACTTTAATAATGCAGCAATTTAGATACGAGTAGGTATGCAGGCAGGATAAATTATGTAAGTAGGCATGTACTTACTACTCGTAATTTCTTGAAAAATATAGCTAAAGAATTTTGATTTGTTTTTTTACCCATAAGGTTATAAAATGGGTCAAGAAGATATTTTTGAACATTGAAGAATAAGCATAGGTACTTTTTAATCTGCGGTCAGATTAGGTTCTTTATATCATATTGATTGAATTCAGAATTAAGGAAAATAAAAGATAAAAGTATAGTAAGGTAGTGTACTAACTCTACATTATGTAATTATGTTAATTAGGTATGTGTAAGGAAAGTGTCTAGTTGTTACTTAATCATGTTATTATTATTACTACTGGACTAGCATCAGAAGGTAGGTATTATTATTATGAAATAAAGAATAATGATCTGTTCCGAAATATTTATTAAATTATATTTTTTATTTGCGCTTACTATAACAATTTTGCTTTGCGTCACATACAGTCATTGTTCACAATTGGAAGACTTAGTAAATTAAGCTTGATATTTTCATAAAAAGGCATCGAGATCAAACAAATGGCACATAAATAGAATTTGAAATTAAAATACTACATACTAGCGTAACCTAAAACACAAACTTAATTAAGGCACGAGTGTAAACAATACGTTACATAAACATACATAAGTTAAAACAAATTAAAGCTTTGTCATGGAAGATACTAATAATATCACATTGATTGGCGAGCGTGTTTCACCAGGGGCGCCACTTGTCCTCGTCCGCCGGTGGCCCGTCGCGTTCTTTTTTCTCAGCGTAAAAAGCCTCGAGCTGACGCTTCGCCTCCTCCTGTTTTTTGTACTCCTGGTACTCGATCAATTTCCTCTTCTTTTTTGGTGGTAAGTTGCTGTAATCCATCGGCGATTCGCAGTGTTCCGGAAGACTGGACTCAACTTTGCTCTCGGGTAAAGGCGTCGTGTCCAATTGACTCGAGGTCTGATACGCGACAGGTTTTTTAGGTGAGGCACCCTCTGTAGCCTTCGATGGGGACCTGAACTTCCTCAGGTCCAAGGTATCGTTGCTCGGCATCGGCACGTTGGCAGGCGAGTACTGGTATACGAGATCGTTTTTGCACACTTCGTCTTTGTACAAATATTTTGGTTCGGCCGGCGAATCGGCGCCCATGTTTACATCGACGCCGACCGTGTCGTTACCGCGTTTGTCCATTATGTGCTGTCGGATCTTTTGAAGGATAACATCCTTCGCTTCGGCTGGCACTCTGTTGAAGTAAGCCCCGTTTCTGTGTGTGTTCGCGCCGTGTATTTGTTCAGGGGCGTGTAGAGGCGGTGACAGCTTGTCAACCGTCGTGAGTAGGCCCGCCATCGGTGGACTTGCTTTGTGAGGTAATCTAGGGTTTGGTCGAGAATATGCCCATTGTTTAGACGCGCCATCGCCGGAGTAGACTGAGTCCTCGGCGTCTGAAGAGGAGCGTTCATGGTCGCTGTAGTAGTGCTGTCTGTCGGACACCACGGAAGATGGGGACGTGGGTGGTGAAAATGGAGGCCTATCTGGTACTTGTATCGTGAGCGGCTGTGCCGTTATCAGCCGAGATAGGTGACTGATTAGGCTCTGGCTGACTTTGGCGTCTAAGTCAGGCACCGACATGATAAACCGGCACGCCTCCGCAGCGCATTGTCCGAAGCCGGCTTGAAACTTCTTCGCTTCCAAAACTGGATCCTTGGGGCTGTGTAATTTTGTGAGATGATTAACTGTTAACTCAAGGATATCTGCCTTCTCCAGCTTGCTCAGGTTGTCGTCATCGATCTGTGGACAAAAGAAAGAAAAACAATTGAGCAGGTGCGAGCGTTGGTTCTCACGGTCCGGCGGTGAACGTCACATTAATATAACTGTACAGGAGAATAGGGATATAGTCGTGGTACGGTTTATTAATGGAACTTGTACTTTTAAATTCCAGTTTCGCCGCGGGCAGATAAGTGCTCGTGCAATAAACAGAAGGACGACCGGTTGCGATAAAAATAAATGGCGTGTGAATGAATGATGGATTGCATTTTGATGATCACTAAAAGAAGACTCAGCTATATTTTTTCGTGATCCATTAAGTCTATAGTGTGAGAACTGATGAGATGCGCTAATGAGTTAGGGTTTTTATTTTTCTTTACTGACACTCAATATAAAAACTAAAATAAAATGAAATAAGCACTCACCTCTAGAGCCCCAACCATGAGGTCTTTGAGTTCATCCAGGCAGCGATTGATGCGCGCGCGCCGCTTTCGCTCCAAAAGCGGTTTTGTGATTTTCTTGTACTTTGCCGTTTTCGACAATGGTGCTGGATCAGCCGACATTTTTGTTAACCTATCAAAAGAAACGAAAAAGTTTAGTAAAATGTAACATAACGTATTGTATCGCGAGCAGGAAAATACTTAAGTTTGTTTACAAACAATTCGACAAAGTTTCAATTAAAAATAAAATAATTTATGGAAACACTTGACCATTAAAAAGTGCCCTAACTAATCCTCTCATTAACTACAATCAACGCCCTAACCACAATAATTACAAAACCACGAACAACAAACACAACCACTGACTTACCTATAAATTTTAATTCAACACACTACTTAAATTATTCACGCAAACGGTACGCACGTCTCTCTCGGCGCGTCGTCGCACACTGCCTGCGAAGGAAGGCTTCGCTCTCCCCGCGGACCCTTACCCCCCTCCCCCGGCCCTGCCATTCATGTCTGCGCAAGAGCACGTGTGCGGTTCCGAGCATGCGTAACGCGGGAATGTCGTTTTTTTCTATGACTTATTATAATTACTAGCTTTCCGCCCGTGGCTTCGCCCGCGTGGAATTTTGTCTGTCACAGAAAAACTTTATCGCGCGCGTCCCTGTTTCAAAAACCGGGATAAAAACTATCCTATGTTCTTTCCCGGGACTCAAACTATCTCTATGCCAAATTTCATCAAAATCGGTTGCGAGGTTTAAGCGGAAAAGCGTAACAGACAGACAGACAGACAGACAGACAGAGTTACTTTCGCATTTATAATATTAGTTGGGGTTGCGTGGAATTCGTAATGATTTGTAATGGAGTAAGTTTGGGAAGTTTCATAATGTTAAGGTGGTAAGGGCTTAGGTTAATGTATCTTTAACTGAAACATGATAAAATAGAGCAATGGAAAGTTCTCACTTTTAATAGCTATAATATGATTGTTTGGTTGGACTTTTCTTTATTATTCACTTAAATAGCCTTCCCGTAAAAATTATCCTATGATGAATGCCTCTAACGCATTTTGGTTTTTATTGTCTTGAAAATCTTTTAACCGTTTATTATTACGATGTTTCTTGGCTGAAAAACAAACAAAAGGGTCGAAAATAAAATAATGTCTGTTTAACGTAACAAAAAAGACAATAATAATAAACAGCACGCGTTTCTAAGTTTTACAATTACGCCAAACGATTCAGTTAAACCCTTATCCATTCTTTTGTAAACATTAAAGGAACCGCTAACGACGACTTACTTTCTTCTATTACCGTTATTCATATTTGTTATTGTTTGCGTGGTGAAAGAAATGTATCTAATCTGTAACTAGGTATTTTGATCCTGTTTAATGTATTGATAGATTAGAAACAATATTGCCTTAAAAGATTTTTTTCAGTTTAGAAAAATTACAATTGGTGACTCTACATTGATTACATAATGCAATTCTGTAATTGTACAAGTATGTATTAATTACTACTTTCAGGTCCTGTTAGTTAGACTACTAAAATAATAAAGAGTTGAACTCTCTCGATTCAGATTTTCTGGGTACAATTTCTAGGTAAAACTCGCATCGTATTAACCTAATTGTGTGGAAAAAAGTACGATTCCTCTTTCATTAGAGTTTGTATCTTCAGTTTGATCCAGGTACCTTACAGAGACTAATGTGCTGCTCAAAATGATACTAAAATTTAGTCAGCCGTTGATCTACACGATAGAGCCGAAGAAAAATGGCTGTATCCTTTTAAACAATTTCCAAAAACCTGTCGGCTTTTACAAAAAGTATGCAAATTCAACGAAAATAATGTGAATTGTATGTTATCTCAACCGCTACTCGACCC